ACCTAGAATCATTTTAAGCAGGTGTTTTTGTTCTTATGTCACAGGAGACTGATGTGTTTTACAAAATAGTTTTTTTTTCTAGAGAATGATTTATATGAAATTTCTGCTGTAGACATGTTTATATTTTTCCAGTTTATTTTATTTCTTCTGTAGACATGTTTATATTTTTCTAGTTTAGTTTAAACTCATTTATTTTAGCTTACTTATGATGAATCTAAAGCTTTCATATTTCTAAAACCAGTCTTATTATGTATAAACCATTGCTGGTGTTTTGTTAGAGACCCCGCCCTCACTCAAATCACATTTTCTAGGTCCTTTCTGTCAAACTTCGGAAAAGAACCTCAAACCCAGTAGTAAGAATAGGATAAGGTAGTTTGGTCTATCCTTCTCTAAGGAACTTTACATGTAAACAAATAGTAGTTTTATGCTAGAACTTGTTGACTGAATTTATACCAACAAATTGAGTAAAAGTCCATTTGGTTATTATATGGACAAATCAGTGTGCATTTATAAACTGATTATGATTATGATTGTCAGACACATTTTCAATCATAATTTTACCTTAATAGACTTTATTTCCTAGACTATTTTCCTTTGTATTTCATCTACATGTATTTCCATTTGTTATACATTATCAAAGATACATTTGTAACACCTTCTGTTTTATTTTACATCTAAAGTCTTAAACACATGCCATGGTAGCACTACTTTCAATCTGTATTAGGTTTGAGGTTATTATGAATAATAGCCAAGCTGTTCCAATTGAGAGACCCTCTCCCGGGTCTCCCCAACCCTACCAACAAAATGAATCAACATATTCAAAATACATTTAATAAAGCCATTCAGACTTGCTACATTAAAATAAATATCTTGTCCAGTGTAAGGTTTCAAGTACACTGTTCTTTTCATAAATCATAATAAAAACATGAAATTTACATCACAAACGCTATGCTAATGTCAGTATTATATTAAAAATTTATTTTTTGGTCACTTAACCCTTATATAACTACCTCAAAATGAATTATAATATTAAACTTGACTTTTAACAGGGCTATTATAGGCTGTCATTTATCCATAGGTTACAATGCAGAATACATCCTAAAAAGCTTGCAATTATCTGCATCAGATAATAATCATTAACATTGCACAGATCAATTTAAGACTAAAGTCACACATTTTAACAGTAAATTAGAGCATCTTTTGGTTATAAAATCTAGAACAATAAGTGCTGACAGATTCATATTACCTCAGTCTAGTATATTAAGTGTTATTCAATATGTCAGACCAGCTTCTCAACCAATGAGGTTATCAAAATCTATAAATCATCAGCTTAGTGCAGTGATGGTTCAACTCCTTATATAATGTAATAAGAGTTAACCCGTTACAGTCGTTACTGCATTAACGTGACAAAATGATAACCAACACCTTAGAATTCAGTCTACACCATATAGGTATGTATATACTTAGTTTAGCTGACCTTTTACCTCTCTGTTTTAATTATGGCTCTTCACATCTTTTTTATAAAATCCAAGTTTACATACAGTAACAAAAAAATTTTGATATTGATTGCAACATAACCCACGGTATTTCATTTAGGATTTACACATTTGTCTCCCTTTAATCAGGATATCAATTATTACAGTATTTTATTCATTTTTTGTCAAAATCGACCCCAAAAAAAGTGATTTGTAAAAAAAAATAATTAAAAAATATATTGTTTTCACATGACTGTAATACATCGGAGATGTATAAACAAAATAACATTAATATCTCTAGAACATTCACATTTTGCCAGCCTACAACTGTATATAGATGAACAGTGTGATAGTCAGACAGTAGGACAGCAGCACATAGAGACAAGGGAAAATCTATCAATATGCCCCTACCCTTCACAGAAAGTCAGGGGATAAAACAATTCTGGCGAAATGTTTTAACTTGTAAGCAAACAACATCTGTGCCACTTCCTAGAACTGATACTGTTGCCAGTTTTGACCTAAGTAGAGCTCAAACACACTATCTCAGGCTTGAGAGACAGACACCTTAACCTGACTCAAACATTGAATCATACAACTTTTAATAACAATATCCAAACAAACGATATAGACAATTTTTTTTTCATATTTTGAGATCAGGTGAATGTGCACATGGTTCCCACTTACTACCAGTTCCTGCCAGTTTAAAACAGTTATGTTTGACAGTATGCCAGTGATCGTTACAAGGACATCATAGAACAGCGTCATTATGTAAAAAGCGATGTTATTATGCCAAAATTAATATACGTCGTCAATGGTTTCCTCTTCAAATCATTATAAATACTTTGGTCTTCACCCAATTCTAAAATGCTAAAACTGATTATGTAATATTATTACGCAGTTTGCAATGGTCTTTGTACCGGAACTGAATACACCTTGACCTTGAAATGTTTTTATTATTTAGTATCTATCTCAACAAATAACCTTCTCCATTAATTAGTAGTGTATAATTATGTCTTTGTAACTGAACCTTAGGGATCTGCTTCTCTGGTAGTCAGTCACCTCAGCAATTTAATTCAATAGTATATTCTTGTTGTTTATTTGTTGGTACATATAAACTTAACATCAAAAAAGTCATGTACATGTATATATCACCTCTGTAGGAATGACAGACAATATGGTAATGTGCCAAGAAAACATACAATATTAATCAATTATCTGCAAAGTCTTGGGCTGTATGTTATTCATCAGGTAGATAGGGATGTAGGAATGATAATAATGAACAATGTAGTATACACTGAATCACATGTGGTAGTATTTACACAGTCACATAATCTACATCGTAACATCAGTATCACACACTTTTGTTATAAAATACAATAATAATTACAAAACATAAGTATGCAAACATATTAACAATAAGAGCCTATATTTATGGGTGGATATGGGCAGTTTGATAGAAGAATTGATTTAATGATACGAGGCTTGTGTGTTCACTATTAACTGCCAGCTGTCAGATATTTTGTATTACAATTTTTTAAAACAACCCATGCCATCTAAATAAGAAAAATAAAAAAAAATGTGATATTAAAGATATATATATATTCAGGCGATTATATAAAAAAATTTTTACATAAGAAAGTCATACAACTATTTCAGTTGAGTTTGGCTAAATGTGGCTCACTGGTTAAAGTTACATTAAAGAAATATGTTAAAATATTTTTGCCGTCGGCCTAAAAACCAAGCATTCTACAGTTTCATTAACCTTTTTAACAGTATTGTTGTAAATCTCATCAAATATTGTTCATAAATTAGGATTTTAAATGGAAAACCCCACGGTAACACTAAAGTTCGTATACGAATTTTAACATGCAAATGAAGACTATATGCGCTACGTCACAGAGTTATAGTTGCTATCCGAAACACAGCAAATATAAGATTTTCTTGTGCAAACACACTTTTACCGTTTAAGCGTCACGGTGCACTAGGCCTGTGGTTCAGAAAAAATAATCATCTCATAAAAAAGATTAAATTTGTAAGAAAATATCCGTTACAATGCGGAAATATACCGTTAAATTAGGACTGCTACTTATAGTCATGTTTGTTGATTTAATATTGATGTACGGATGATCTGAAGGCGGAGTTTCTCATGCAAACAGAAATTGTACTTCCGAATTCGCCACAATGAGGTTGCACATTTGTATGCTCATTAAACTCATTTTGGTTGACTGGACACCAAAATAAGATCTGGAGTCGATATGAAACCCAATTTATTAATGAAATGTTTCTTTTTTTATGAAATTTATTTAATGTAACTTTAATACATCAGATTAATAATCTAATGATTGCTGGCCAATACCAGGGCCAAGTGATTGTGTCCTTAAGCAAGAAACTTTACTCTCTTTGCCGAGTACTGGTTGGTTCCACGAAAGGATTCAAGATTGTGTCTATAAGCTTATAGCTTCCTACAGAATCAAACTAAAATAAATTTTGTATAATTTCTTAAGTTGAGGTGGGTAAGAATATTGTAGTGCTTGTTTTGGCAAGTTTGTGTTTGTTAAATATTAAAATGAAATATACAGGTATGTATAATGCTAACAGCCAATATATAAATGTGTATATTGTCTACATGTATGATCAGATTAAACAGCATAAGTGTTAGATGGTTATCAAAGAACAATGAGCAATGAGTGTTAATTATGAACATGTAATCAATTAAGTTAATCAGAGGTCTATAATAATTTACAATTAACCTAATAACCTACAGTTCATGTAGGTGCTATTGTATTAACTTAATTATTACAAGACCTACATGTAGATATCAATTACAAACAGTTGTAATTAAGGCTTTTTCCAACAAATATGGTAAACTTTAGTTTAATTTATATATATGGAAGACTCAGAAATGAATTACACCCTGAATTGCATTTACCAGATTTGAAATATTGTTTAAGTGGCTAGTAATATTATATTAATGGTGTTGATGTACAAATCTTAGATGTTAATAAGTCCCAGAACTAACTAATTAATTTAGGTTACACGTCCCAGAACCAACTAATTAATTTAGGTAACATTTACTTTTATGAAATTACTTGTGTATGTAAGGTAATTCTACTTGTTTGTACAGAAACTGTCTACAACTGGCTGTATTTGGTATTAAAAAAAATCTGGTGAATTTTTAAGTAACTTGCATGCTTACATGTATTGGAAAGAGGTTGGTGAATAGTTATGTATTGAGTACAATCTATGCAGCATTGAGATTACATGTTTTCTTGAAATTCTACAGTGTAAAATTTGTTCACCTTTACAGCTGCTCTAATACCAGCCGACCTGTATGTCATATACAGACGAAAAAAAATCCAATGCTAACACCGGCTCTTACAATACACAACACACTAATGTATAATTATCGCTATTTGGAAGCAGACGGCGTATCACAAAGCCTCTGAGGGTTATATTGATCAATATGTCCTTTAAAACAGCATGTTAAGTATCATGTAATAATATACACAATGTTTAAATACTTACTGTTCTGAGAAATAAGATATCATCCTGCTCAGAACTTCCACCGTCTCCGAGCTCCGCCATCTTGGATGTTGATTTGTGTTACCTGTGTTTTGATTCCAATCCAATTACGTATCAATTAACTCAGATTTCCAGCCGGTACAATTATAATGAAACTCTCCATTCATCCGCAAACTGCAAGCAGTCCTTTTGCATTTATTGAACTAACATTGCACTTAAAATCGAAACATTTTTGAGGCGCAGGTGAGTTCTATACACCGATAATTCTCAGAAATTCCACAACAGTAAGCTGACTGTCAGAATCACGCGCGCTGTATCCGAAAATATCTATTTTTAGCAACAATCACGTTAATCGACGTCACATGCTAGCTAATAAAGAAATAAAAGAACTACATATATGTGGTAGTCTATGGAAAACAATGTATTTATTATGCGATATTTGCTTTTATGGTCACGCTCATAAATAATCAGCCCTGTGATTTATAAAATATTAATGAATCAGAGCTTTGCCTAGAAATTTACTCTTACAGTTGAATGATCAAGCTTTTATAAAATAATATGAATATCAATGATCAATACAATAAGGGTTTGTTTTCTTTGCTTTCAATGCTAACTTTTATCGTATGAATATATAAATTATAATACCTTTAATTCATATAATTTATCATTTTATTTCTTTCTTTTTTTTCTTTTCATACATATTATTCATATGTATAGTTTCTATTCTTACCTATTACATAAGAGATTTTGATTTTTGTTTCAATTATCTTTTCATTAAAGATACGTTGTGCCTTAGAAAAAAAAATATATCAAAAATGAATTTAAAAAAAGGACAAACTTGAGTTTTATAACGTTTACAGCATGGTAGCTGCTTGCTACCATTAAAACTGTGATTACTGGTCACAAAAGTAGCAAAACGTAGTAGTGTTAATGTCCGATGAGTAACTTTTTGGAAATTGTCAAGAGTAATTAACAATATAAAGCTTTTGAAAGATAAAAAATAAAAGCATTTCTCTATTTTTTATGTTTCTTAATGAATATTGCAGTGTAAACAATTAAGATATTACTTTTTTACATAATTACAGTGATGTCACTATTGATTACCGAAATGGTAATTATTTATATTTTTGTAATTTTTTATCATTCTCATTCTTCCTGTCAGATAATAACTTTAAAGGCACATTTTGCCTCAGATTTTTATCTTTTTGAGTTTAATATGTTTAAATAATGGATTAAGTGCATGTTAGATATTTTACAAATTAAAAAAGTAGCACTTAATATGCAGTTATGTGTCGTAAAGGTAGCAAAATGTAAACAAAGTAGTATTTTGACTTCCATACAAATAACTTTGTTTTTTTTAAATATACACATTGCCAACAGAACTAAAGATGTAAATGATAGTTCATGTTCATAGCAAATAAATATGTTTAAATAAACAGTTCTTGAGAAATATAAATGATAGCATTTCTCAGGCGTAATGGGCCTTTAAAGGTTATTTGGTGAACTGTACACAATATGTGGCCCTCGTGACTGGAAAGTTGTTTTTAATCACATACTTAAGCATGTTGTGGGCTAAATTTACAAGAAAAACAAACAAACGTAGCTTTCGTTTGGATCTACATCAGAATACTATAATAAATATACGAACAAACAAATTTCAATGACAAATAAATACAAGCATATTTTACCAACAGTACTGTACACTTTATAAATTGTTTCAAATGTATTCAGTATCCAGATAAGATGATACAAGCACATATTATGCACAGTAAAGTTGACCTGTTTACAAGTTTCAAGTTTCAAGAGTTTATTCAGCATAAACATACAATATGTTCATTGCCATACATATGATATAATGTGCATGTAATATGACAAGAAAACAAACAAACAAACAAACAACAAAAATAAAATACATTTGGTAACAATGAGAATAACCCAAACAAACACACACACACCCACAAAAAAATATTTTTGAGAAAAGTGTAAAGAAATAGTAATTATTCAATATGTATTTAAACAGTCAGATTTATTGATTATACGTATCTCGTTTACATGTAGCTAGGTATAAATACTTTGCCAGTTTATTTATAATACTTTTTTGGCAAGATGTCATAATATTTCTAAATTTCTGGATACTAGGCCAAGAACAGTAATAATTAGGAAGGCAACGATATCTTATTTCTCTATAAAAGGGACACACTAATAGAAAATGATACTCATTTTCAACAACATTCATGTTACCACGTAAACAGATTCGTTCAGATCTTGGAATATTCCTATGTCTACCTTCCTCTATCAGTAATTTGTGAGCAGAACATCTAAATCGACATAAAGTAGTACGATAATTTAAATTACTAACACATAACAAATATTTTTCCGCAACATGCTCATTTTTAAATATGCAATAAGTTTCTAATTTAGGTAAACTGTTGATTTCACTTTGCCATTGTTGTAAGTATTGATCTTTTATTCGTGCTATTAAAATATTTAGTTGATCATTTGTAATATTTTGATTATTCCATAAAAACGGAAAACCTAACTCATTCAACAAATCTCGTACATCACTGGACCACTTGTTTAATAAAACATCATTATTATTTCTCATACTATAAATTCTATAAATAAGTTTGTCGTTATTCTTAAGAATTCTGTACCAAAATTTCAATATCCTTATCTTTCTATATACAATTAATGGAAATCTTCCTAATTCTCCATACACTGTTGTATTTACAGTTTGTGGCCTTACACCTAACAACTGTTTCAAAAATTTCAAATGTACTCTTTCAATGTCAGTGGCTTTATGTAGCCCCCATATTTCTGATCCATAATTTAATATAGGTAATATCATGGTATCAAATAATTTTAATTTATCTGGTATCTCAAAATTAACTTTATCAAATAATGCATTTAAAGAAAACAAAGCTTTTAAAGCTTGATTAGCAAGCGATTTTTGTGCTTGATAAAAACGACCATTAGAAGAAAGCGTCACACCTAAGTATGTAAAAGTTCTCACAACTTCTAGTTTTTCACTATCATAGAATATATCATAATCTTGAGTTCTGTTTCCAGATTTACAAACCATGACTACAGTTTTATCAGTATTAACAGTAATATTCCATGCTTTACAATACATGTTCATGTTATTTAACAAATTTTGTAGACCTTCAACAGTATATGAAAATAAAACAGTGTCGTCAGCAAATAATAACATAAACATCTGTATTTCATCTAGACTGAAAATATCATCAGATTGAGTCAACATACAATTATACATATCATTTATGAAAAATAAAAACATAAGAGGAGACAATGGCTCTCCTTGTTTCACGCCCATAAAAGTTTGGAAATCATCTGTCAAAGAACCATTCACCCTTTATATACATGATCTAACGTTGTCATACATAATTCGTAACATGTTAACTATTTTTGTTTACAATGTTTACAAGAGCCCCCGATAATGTTATTATAACTTTTGGCCCAACTACATAAATGCTGAGATATGACCCACATCCATTTTCAGCACAACCACAACCGTGAAACATGGCTTCTTCCGCATATAATAACTTTGACACGCTGATTTCTTTTCATGTGGTGAAATGAAAACAGTTTTGTTAGACTTGCTGGAATGGTTTATTTACTTAGTTCAGGATACATCTACAAACAGACCCTTTACATAATTTAAACATGTTTTTGATGTACAATACTATTTACTCATATTCAAAAACCTTACAGCATAGACTATTAATGATCATTGAATATGATGTGATATTCACCGGTTACTGTCATATTGACCGAAGCGATATGGCTCAAAAGACAATAATTGTACATTATATATACTATAAACTCTGAAATGACCGAAAAAGATGGAAATATTATAAATATGTAGCTGTAAAACACATTGCCATTTTTTATTGATTTTGTCATTCTTGTGGAATGTGAAATATCGTAAATTATTATATGTATAATTTATTATGATAAAAAATAGCTGCAATCTAATTGGTCTAAACAGCTATCGCCTTGGTCAATATGACTTTTATCGGTCAATAAAGACCTATTTCACGCCGCCAGGCCGCCAACTTCACGCCGCCAGGCCGCTGGGTCGCCAACTTCACGCCGCCAGGCCGCTGGGCTGCTAGGTCGCCAACTTCACACATCTGTATTTGTGTAATTACTGGGTCTTTCAAATAGAAATACTCTAGTTATTAATCGCATTTTGAAGGTGAATTCATGCGTTTTTTATTTTGTAAAATGTCTGTAAAGATAGAATCCTTCAATGATTGAAAGTGAAATGACACTGCCTTGTCATGCAACATCATGTTAGAAGAACTAGAATGAATTCGCTTTTGGCATTGCGATGTCGCCGC